TTCATCAAGATTTTAAAGTGCAAAAGTTCTAAAAGATTTTTACCGAAAAATTTTAGCAATTAAGAAATTTACAAAAAAATACTTTCCCATTTCTTGGTGAGAAAATAAGAAAGACGGCGGCAAGTGGAATTGGACTGTGGGAGCGAGCAAGAGAGTGAAAGAGGAGGATGAAGATTATTAGGTTAGGGTTATGTAATTGTGTTTTGTAACTTGTTTGTCCCGTGACTTTTGCCTTTTGGAATGGAGTTACGTTTTTTTTTTTAAACTAAGTGGGTCGGGTTGGATCGGGTTAAATCGATTTTCTTAGATTAACCCCGACCCGCCTTCTTCGCCCAAAACCCAACCCAACTATAAAATAAAAAAAACCGACCGGTTTGGGTCGGTTCGGGCAGTTTAGGCGGGTTTGTTTGGGTTTTGCCCACCCCTAAGCAGAACCATATCTGACAATCATCCATCTACCACTATATAGCATGGCATCCTCAAAATTCCAAACTAAGGCTATAGAAGATGAGGGCTCGTGCTAACATATTTATATTTCCAATTTCTTTATTTTACCCTAATGCTGAAACAGCCTCCTATATTATTGGAGGTGACTGGTGAGTGATGACCATCATCTTACCACCAACCATCAACCATTCAATAGGCTGCTACAGGCGATCTTCCAGTTCATCAGTCCTATGTTGGCCAATTGGTCGATAATTACTTATTGAACTACCAATGCACTTTCTTCATTCCTCAATCCAACTATGTTTCCCTTAAGCTACCACAGGGTCACACAATATCCTATGTGCTCGAAAATTGGAATAAATCTGCCTGACAACCAACCTTTTTACAGTATTATGTTTTACCTTATTCATAATTCTAATATTTGTCTTCACTGTAATTTTAATGCTTCCTTGACCGACTCCTGAAAATCTCAACATCAGCCTTTTCATACTTACTGCATATATCCTTCTTTCAGATTTTTCCTTCTAAACTATGTCATTTATCAGACTTGCTCACACCATATGTATTTTACAGGGTACAAACACTAGTAAAAGGTACCTTCTTCACCATTGCTGATATAATCAGATTCTCCTTTCCTTAAAATGGTTACACCCCCTAATCTGATCAAGAAAGGATATCATTTTGTCAGTGAGCCGTAGCACATAGTAACTATGCTGTTGAAGATAATGAGATAGCAACATGTTGTCTCACTAACACGATAAAGAAATAATTCCCAACAAAATTCCATTTGAAGATGAAGCAACCGCAGAATTAAGGAATGCTAGGAAAATGAACACAGAATTTTACCCTTTCGCAAGAGAAAGTAATTGCTGAGGTCCTTCTTGATCATTTACTTCACAATTTAAAACTTTCTGAACAAGTCGCTTATACTCATTAATGTTAGGAGTCAGGACAGCCAAGTGATAATCTCTGACCAAGTCAAGGCAATTTGTAACAAGAAAAAGCCCATCCTGAGAAATCCATAGAATACATTTCAAAGACTAAATTCTTTGGGTAGACGGTATCGCAAGCAATCCTTTCAAAGGAAACTAAAGTCATTTTCTCTATTACGCACCCCATCTACGACAATCGGGACATTGGATTCCCTGGCATGCTTCATGATCTCACTGACACAGTCCTGAAGATGTAATACATGGTTAGTTAAGATCTCTAGTTATAAATAAGGCCGATTTTAATTGATATGACAAGGAGCAAACATGTAGCAAAACTGGTTCAAAGGGAGGAGAAAGTGAATTATTTTAAGAATAAACATATTACAATAGATAAATTCAAAATCAAAAGTTTTGCAGAACAATTAAAACTTTCTATGCATGTCGATATGATGCTTCCAGATCAAAACAAATCAAGAATGCTCAAGTAGCAAGAGATGAACAGCATGAATTATATATACTAAAAAGTTTGTCAACATATGAAGAGGACATAGAAAAGGTTTATAGTTACAATATCTGTTAAGCAAATGGAAGTCTATTTACATTAAATATTCTCTAAACCTTATGATTAAAACCAATACGCAGACGTATCACTTGCAGAAATTAGACTCTTGGGGTGTTTATTCAGAAGACTGTTAAATTAGTTATTTGCTTTTATGAAGGTTTATCAACAAAAACACTAGTTATACACAATGCAACTCATCCAATACAACTAAAAACAGAATAATACTTATCAGATAGTCAGTATCTAATTAAGTATATGGCCAAAACAGATGGTATCTAATTATCTATACAAAAATTTATGCAAAAAAATATTATGCTCTAAATAAAAACACACCAGGAGAAACGGGTCTCTCCCCAGACCAGGACCGACGACTAAACAATCAAATCTCCCCATCCACTTATCAACCTCAGCGATCACCTTGTCTGATGTTGATCTTTTATACTCATCCCTAGATACATCATTTCAAAACTATAAGCACTCCAAAGAAAAATTCAGTATAATAAAACTGGAAAGATAGATTTAACAAGAATTTACTAAACAACGATAAAGTTCATTAAGGAAAGATATTACCTAACACCATAAGATTCTTCCAGAATAGGGTGCACGATCAACTCTGGGCTGTAACCTTTAATAACTGGAGCAGCATCCTTTGTACAGAACACGTGCGATAAATCTGCACCCTAAGAAAATAGATAAATATTCACTCAAAATACCCAAATAGAAGTCTTTGATGCAAAAGAAAACTTCTTCATTCCCCTTGACTGGCAAAATAACAGAATGATTATTTTCAATGTGGAGACAGAGGCTAAGGTGAGGATAACTGACAATTTTTAAAGCTGAAATAGCAGAAAAGTATGGAGCTCCTGTGTATTCACGGCAACCACCCACGACAGCTATCTTCCCTGGTCGTGGATCAGACATTTAATAAATAAATGAGATAAGAACTCAAATGCAACTGCATGCAGTGTATAGGTGACATGTATAGGTGACATGTAATATATTCCACCAAACCAATTGTTGAAGCGTCAATCAAAAGTCGAGTATAAATCACTAATTAATAGTGAGTCAATGATAACCTATGACCAGCAATGAACATGCTGCAAATGCTAATCAAAATTAACCAGTAGCAGAATTCTGTGAAGCATAAAGCGTGTAAATAATGTCAAATCAGATTTTCCATAAAGCTAGTGGTTAATTAACTCCTAAAAAGAACATATTCATAAAAAAAATTCCGCAGATACCTATTGCACTGTAAAATTTATCTAATAATCTAAGCCATGTTGCAAGAATGAGCAAATTATTGGAAGCAAACCAATTTGTGAAACAGATGACCTTACAACATAGCATGACTTCAAAGGTACAGTTCCTAAATTCCCCAGCCAAGCTAGCCCAAATGATGGTGGACAAAAGCACTCAATCTTTTAGTTTTCATTTGTGCGCGCAAAAATCTCAGTAATATGTATGCCTTTCATAGAATCATATATGAATATCATATTTCTCCATCCTCTTAACAAGGCCATAAAATGATCAACAACACTGAAATCAAGTCATAAAAGATATTATAACAAACTTTCGAATAGGAGATAGATGTGACCAAATGGTATCGTAAAAATCAAATTTCCAATAAATTCAAGACATTGTATCATCCCAAAAATTTGCATATTAACCGAAAATTATACTCACAAAATAACAGAAATTTTAAAAAAAAAAAAAAAAGAGAAATAAAATTGAATAGGATGTGTGATTAGCATCATCACCAGCTTGGCCTTTATGCCGAGAAGGGCCTAAAGAAGGAGTAATTGATCTCAAAATGTTGATAACATCACTCTCCAAAGTGAGCCCACCAGCACCAGTCCCGATAGATTGCATTCTGAGAGAACTGTTGTGAAGATTCTTGTTTACACTATTATTTCCTCCTCCCAAACACCTTACCAAGAATTGCTGCCTCCTGATTACAGCAGCAGAATTACCCACCATAAAATTCTCCCAAAACTGTCCAAGAAATTTCGAGTGAGATTCAATTTTGATATTTATATAACCATTTTACTGCCATATAACCTTACTGCTATACCGATAATACGAGCATGCTCAATGTAATATGTAATTTAATATAGATGATAAATATATGAAAATTTGCGTTAAAAGGTTTTTTATGAAGGAAATTGCATTACAATTAAAAGGGTGCTTACATAATTTGGATTTGGCTAAACGGAGAAGAAGAAGATCAACTGTGGAAATGGAATCGGCCAACGATTTTTTTTTTTTGCTGGCGGATGGAGACCTTAATTGCTCGAAGGCGTGTTGGGAACACCACGTTTTTAGAAGTCCTCCTCTTAACGGACCTTTCTATCCCCACAGACGGACCGGAACTGTCCCCCAGTTGCCCTCTATGCGTATATCTCATTCTATTTGCATCCTTCGAAATGAGAGAAAAAAATGAAAAATACTTCGTTTTACTTTTATATTTATTGTTTTTAAAAAAATATGAATATGACATACAAATGTGATAATTACATAAAATCAGGTGTTTAAAGATTGGTTTTTAAAAATCAGGTCTAAAGTTTATTTATTCAAAAATCAGGTATTTTATTTTACATATCAAATCCTAAATCTATTCAAACCCTAAACTAATTCATTTATCTCAACTCTCTCACAGTCTATCCATCTATTCACTCTCTCACCATTTCTCTCCATCGCCCGCTGCCTCCACCGCTATCGTCAGTCTCTCCACCACGGCTTCTCCTCCCTTCTCCCTCCCCCTCAGCGTCGCGACGCTGGCAGCAAGTCTATGGGTGTTGGGTAGATCTATGTGATTGGCTGTTGTTGGTGGCTGATATGTATGTCGGCTACTGTGGGTGTGTGGCGGATCGGAGTTGAGGGAATCGGAGAGGCGGCGGATCTGTGGGTGTTGGGCGGATCTGTGTGAGTGGCTGTTGTTGGTGTTGGGCTGTTGTTGGTGGTTTAGGCTGATCTGTGGTGGTTTGGGTGGTGGTGGTTGTTTGTGTTATTGTTGGTGGATGGTTGCGACGGCGACGGCGGCAGGGATATGACGAAGAGTGTCTGTGACCAACTATTTGGTCAATTTGTGACCAAGTATTGGTGGTAAATTGGGATCCGAGGACGGGTGTTTGGGTGTATGTGACCAACTATTTGGTTCACCGTTATTAACTATTAAACTGTAACCTTGAAATTCAATGATTTGTGACTAAAAATAATTTGTGATCAACAAATTTAAAAATGTGTGATCGATAGATAAATTTGACCTATAATTTTTTTGATTTGTAATCTCGAAATAATCTGTAACCTTGAAATTTGAAAATATGTGACCGACATATAAATTGTGATCTATAGAAATTTTGATTTGTGATCTCGAAATAATTTGTGACCAATTTGACAATATATGACTAATAATTAAATTGTGACCTTTAATTTTAAACTTGAACTTGAAACCTGATTTTTGCATTGGTGATAAAACCTAATCAATGAATTTTCCCCCATACAAATACGTCTTTGTGTGCCTCCTAACTGGCTTTTGGAACAAAAATCTTTATCAGATTAGATACCGTAGGATCTAATTAGTAATTAATGGAAAATTGATTGAGTGCGACAAAAAGTTGAGGATATAAGTATTATAATAAGCAAAAATTAAGAATTTTAAGTGTAATAAAAATAGGGCAATTTTATTCACACCACAATTTTTATTTCTTACACCACATTTTAGTTATACTTAAGGTTTTTAATCTTTGTTCATTATAACACTTATATCCTTAAAGATTTTACATGTCGTTCTTATCCTTAAACTTTTCATTAGTTAACAAAATTTGTATTTGATAATAGTTTTATGTACAAAAGTCTATTGAAATGACGTAAAACAACTTATTTTTCTATAATATTTTTTTTAAAAAAAAAAGTGCGAAAAAATAAAAGCCCTTGTTTTCGACTCGTGCTCTTCCGTTTATAGGGGTTTTGGAATTCAAGATACGGGGTCATATTCAATCCTTGTGTCCATGATCACAAAAAAGCTAGCTGAATTCTTTACATGCTTATCCATTCATATTTGGAGAATCCTTCAAGGTTGCAACCTATCCACATAAAGTTGGAATTGATGTATTTATTTTGTCTAAAATGTTATAGCGTTCCTACTTTTTAGGTAAGGAAAGAGGTCGCCAGATCGGGCCACGACTAGTGGATGACTTGTAGAACCATGTCTTGTATACGTGACATAATTATTTATTTGAATTCTCACTTAAATACATTTTTTACATGCGGGTCATTCATTTTGTTATCAATACCTATCTTTCACAATGGATAACAAAGAGATGGATTTTCAACATTTACAGCATGTTCGTTTCACATTATTAGAAGAATTTTTACCGTTGCAAAATGGATCACTCACAATCTTTGACTACCTTTTCGTAATGAAACTCACTTTTTCGGAAAAAAAAAGGTCAAAAATTCCATTTTCATGTACAAATTAATGTGAAACAAACAGAGGCTTGTACACTATGATACATTCGACATCATTCGATTGTAGGATTACAGTTCAATCAGGTTAGAACATGTTTATTCATCTAAATTTACTTTTCAACGTGCTTCTTTAAGTGCAAGGCGGTGCGTATTCATTTGGGTAATGCTACATGTACACACACACTTTTACACAATCTTTTACACCTCTCTCAAATGGAGGATACAATGACATGAAAAATGAAAGCTAATCTCAAGGTTGATAGAAGTTTTGCATCTCTTTCTTTCATTTTTTTGTATAAAGGTTTGTTCCAAAATATAAAATATCATTGACTTATTTAATCAAATTTGTATGTTAGTTTAAAATTTTGTTATTTGTATGTTAGTTTAAAAAATTGTTATTGGTAGCAAAAAAAATAAATAAATTCTTAATTTGTTATAATACCCTCTGAAATTCTTAATTTGTTATTATATATCACTCTTAAAAAACAAAAAAAACAACTACTACACAGACACCATACTAGATGGGACACACGGTGTCTCCGTTCTAGATGGAGACACTGGCGATGTCTCCATCGAACGAAGACACCGCGTGTCTCCATGCTAGATGGAGACACGAAGCTGGACTGCTTATCGAATTGGATGTTATTATATATTACTCCTAAAAAATTTTTTTTTTTTAAAAAAGGGCAGACACGGACGGTGTCTCCGTTCTTGATGGAGACACGAATTTATTATTATTTTTTTAAAACCACCCCAAACCCACAGTTTACTTTTGCACCACCCCAAATTTTCTTTCATGTATCTGATTTGCATATAATTAGTTATATGGTGTATATATTTTTATTTAAAATTATGAAGTGGGTTGCAAATTGGCTTCGAAAATCAATTAGCATATATTTATCATTAGAATTGTTTGTCACTTGATATAAATTTGTCAATGCACCGTGCATCGCACAGGTGAAACCGTGAAAGACTAGTGTTTATTCATCTAAATTTACTCTTCAACGTGCTCCTTTAAGTGTAAGGCGGTGTAAATTCATTTTTTTTTTCCATAAAAAACCTGACATATGGCAGGACTGCACGAATTAAACTCAAGACCCGTATTTGCTCTAACACACCGACAACCCAACTCCTAGATCACAAATAAACCAGCTTAGATCACAAAGTATTGTCGTAAAAGTGTGAACCATAACTAGTGGATGAGAGGGGAATGCTCTTCCATTTACAGCCAGAAGTATATGCCTAAAGATGAAGCCTATCTTGGATCAGATATCCCTTTCTTACAACTGGATAATATCTCAGAATTAAACACACTTCATGATCCCTTCTGGGGTTTTTGTGACAGATTGGCTTCATTTTATGACCCCACCAACCCATATGCCCTGCCCATATACCCCATTATTGTTTGCCTTTTTTTGCCTATTTAAAGCACTTGGGTATCTCTCTCAACTGGAAAAAGAGAAGGCCGAATTGGGCTAAAGTTCTTTGAGGACTTTCATCAAACATATGGCAGCAGTTCTTGAAGTAGAAGATGATGTCTTTTTTGCAGATTTAAGTCACCAAATCTCCCTCCTTCTCATGGATGATGATGAAGGATCACTTGTTCATTGTTCATCTGTTAATTTACAGGTATCTTCAACCATGCTAGATAATTAGGCTCGACCCTGTTTTAATAAAGGCATGTTTGATACACGATAGAACAATATTATAATTATTATTGCTTCTTAACTTTGTTCAGTTTATCTTATCAAACATACTGACATAATTGTTTAAATTTAGACCAACTAGGCAACTCCAAAGTTGTGATGATCCTAACACTAGTACTTAACAAAGAAGAAAAACTAAAATCTTGTCAACTATATTGTCATCAGGGGGCGGAGTTAGCACTTGGCATGCCATGAAGGCCACCCATGCTGGCCTTGACGGCAAATAATAATAATAATAATAAATACATATATTGGATGGCCGCTCGACAGGCGCTCACTTGAATCCGCCGCTGACTGTTATGTTGTGTCTTTGGACCGTATAGTCGAGTCCACTTAATTAACCATCCTAGAGAATTAATCTTAGACCCATTTTTTCTTAATTATGTGTGATGTTGTCCAATTTACCTTAACAAATTAACATTCCACTGAAGGTGGCTTTTTTATTTTTATTTTTCCACTTAAGGTGGCTTGAATGACATTTGACAATATTAACAAGGAAAAAAAAGCTAAATTATTGTCGATCGTGTTGACTTCAAAAAATGAGTCAACAAAAATTCGGGCCCCACTAACATTCACATAAGTAGAAACCAAGCCACGTGTATGAGGAATCACTCTTTGAGACGCGAGCCAACAAAGTGCTTGAGCTCCGGGGTTGAATCAACACTATAACGAGATAAAATTTTACTAGATCAAATTCCAACACACAAGCAAGTAATATGAAAAACTAGCGAGAGAAGTGAAGTTTTTTGTATTTGGAATTGCATCAGCTTTGAAATAATACAAGAGAGGGTATTTATATCAATAAAATTGAAGCTGTGAAAATTGGATGAAGCGCACGTGGCTTCATCCGACCCACTGGGACGTCCCGTCACAGATGGTTGTCACATCAATCTCACTCGCCTGATCCTCAAAGGATCTTGGGAGCCTTCTTTAGTCCGAAGCCCTTAGAAGCTAGGAGCTTCGGATGGCATGACTTCGGTGAGGGTCTTCGTCGATGATGGCTTTGTCGTTGTATGTGTGCTTCAGTCATTATGCATTGTCACAATGACTCCATGTGGAACGCTACTTGGCAACCACTTGTGCCTTGTTGGCGGCGCGTAACAGACTGTATTGTCCAGTCTGTGTATAGTTCTTTTTGAAATGGGATCAAGATCTAAGATCAATGCCTTGTGAACCACTTACAAACATATATTTGACATATTTTTCCTTTTTATCTTGAATCTTCAGGCCTCAACTCAAGGAATTACCTCAGCTACACAAACATCATATGATCAGACAAGCAGAATAGAAAGAAAAGGGACTGGCGTTTTCATACCTCGTTCTTTGCATCCTTCTAGGAATAACAGACATGGAAGATTCACAGCTAATTCTAGGATTAAATTCCAAAGGAATTCTGATAATTCAAGGGGGCTTCATCATGTTGCTAATTACATTAATAAAAATTAAGCAATGAAGAATTCTGAATTTTCAGATTTATGTACAAAGAAAAAGTTTGTCTTCGTTATGGAGGAGAGGTTTCACCAAAGGTTTGTGCCTCTCCTGTAATTCAATTGTATGATTGATGGAGGTAGTATAAATTTGTCATGTTTACTCAATGCAGTAGATCTTATTAATTTTGTTCCTTGAGAAATATTCATTCTACACACACTCCTTACAAGGAACAAGTAGTTCGTGGACACGTACCATAAGTTTAGTAGTCTCGACTAGTTAATGTAGCACATGTTGCCATCTAGAGTAGAAGCACACATACCATACGTGATTGTGTTAGCGAAGACTCACTAATGCACGAAATCTCGTATAAATAGTAAAGTGGGCACTTGAGAACCGAATCCTTGTTCGGTCATAGTATAAGATTGCAATATACTATATTTTTCATCTTTTACAAACAGATTATGGCAAATTAAGTCGAAACCAAACACAAAGATAGCTCGTTTTGACGAATATGTCTTTGCAGGTGGGTTGATAGTCAATGATTGACTCTAATCCACAGCTTATTGGTTAGTATGGGGTCGGGTGGGGGTGGGTGGGTAATAAGAGGAAATGTAATTTGTTCAATAAATGAAAGGTGTTTAAAAGACTCGTTGGTCGTTTTTTCTTCTTTAATTATATAAATATTGTACAGTCGAGTGCACCATCTAAGGCTTGGAAATACAGCACCCCACATCATTTGTAGAATCAAAGCGATAGGAAAATTGTTGAACTGAGTAAAAACGAACCGCGAGAAGAAACAAATAACTAGGTCGACCGAGATCACACGAGTCATTACAACAAATTTAATTGCAAATCTACAGCAACCCTAGGAAACAATTTTACAAATTATGTTCTTCAAGAAAAAATATAATTAAATTACCCTCTGCATGTCATTTTAAGGGTTCTTATCCCTAAACTTTATTGCATCTTTCAAAAGACACTGAATGTGACAAACCCTAAAGCCTCTCCCTGCACTTATATGGGATTCATGCTGAGGTTCCTGCATTATCATTACTTCAAGAGTTCTTCAACCTGGTCCTAGTTATGATCATAAACCTCTTCAGTGCAATCATTAGGACCCATGTAGTCATTGTGATATTCTCCTTTACCATCAAAAGCAACGCTGAGCTAAGGACGGTCTTCAGTATTTGGGCTTGTAACCCTTTGAAGAAGCCGAGTACGCCTTCTTTTTTCCAAATGGCACGGACTGCCCCCGAAATTGTTTTTCGGGAGTTTGGTTGAGCTTTATCCTCCTCGTCTTCGTCTGACTCAGCTGACTGAATCATCACCTTACACCTGTCCATAAAGAAGATTTGAGCCTAATAACAGTATGAGAATATTGAAATCATTAAGAGCCACGTCTACTTTGTCGCTACTGTTCTTCACTATAACAAAGAAGATTCGAAGAAGAATACAAGGTGACCCATAACTTCTCACATATAAAAAAGCCGGCCTCATAAAATCCTGTAAATAGTAGAAATATTAGGTAGATCTATAGTCAAGAATAAGTGTACTGTATGATTAAGCTTCACACTATCCAGCAAGTTCGTCCTCTCTTTGAATGCAAGTCTTGAATGGATGAGTAGTGCATAAATAATAAGTTCTATTAGATAAAAGAAAGAATGAGTAGATATTTACCTTATTGCTGGATAAGTTACAAAGGTAGCAATGCATTTTGAGACTGCACCTAACACAAAAGCAGAAAATGCAGAAAGAGCTGCTCGAGATGAAACGCCATCTCTATTTTTGCTCATGCTATCTTTCAATGATCTCTGCTTTAATTGATCAAAAGCTGTGTACTGCATACCGTTATAATCTAGATTGGTATTTTATTTAATCATACTTTTTGAACATAAATGTATAAATAATAATGCTAATCCATTTTGAACAAGACAGATTATAAAAAGGAAGAAAAACCATCAACCTGAATGGAAGGATTTATTGTAAGAAGAAGAGAAATGCCTAGACCGTCAAATGACTCGCTCCAAGTGTTCTCCGAGAGGGTTTTCCAAAGTCCTTTGGATTTCCCAAAAGTACTTGTTTGCATTTTTGAAGATGCTGTATCCAGAGGCTGAATTGATAAAAAACCAAAACGAACAGAGAGTACTTAGGTCACATGGTTCCGACGGGTGACATTAATATGCGAACGGAATAGATATCAAAGTAAAAAGAGCCACATAACGACTTGGAAGAAGCACCATTTTCAAGAAATCCATGAACCAAGATCATGATGCATACGGAATCCTTTTATTTGTTATCAACTTGCGTAAACTTTCATTTGCATTTTACTTGGGATCTTTATAATAATTCTTTATTCTGTTCTATTTTCATGTTTCCAATCATCAAGAAAAGTGCAAAGAACATTTTAAGCCATTTAACTCTTCAAAGCCAAGAAGGCAAGAACATAAAGTTTTAAACTGAACTTGTGTTAAAGAACACATTAACGGTGACAGTAACAGTAACAGTGTAAAGGCTAAGGTATTGCTATTGTGTCTACACAGTACGTGTGACTCTACAAGTTACAAGCGCTGTCCAATTTTTCCTTTGGTTTACATTAAGCATGACTTTTCAACATCTTTACCAAATCACGTAATATTCCTTCAGCTTCTCAGATTGCCATAAATGGTGGTTTGGATTGAAATATGGCCTCTCCTTTATTCTAGGAGATATGTTCTACAAATAATTTTTTATTTTTTTTTATTTCCCCTTCTGTACTGTCAATGAACAGGAGTATAAAGAAAGGCTTGAGCTCAGTTGTTCAATTTGAGCTGAGATTGATATAAATTACCTTCTTCAAATTGCAACGACCTGAACTGACAATTTCATGCACATGATATCGATTATAAAAAATATTATAAAACCAAACATCTATTGATGACTACTGCCATTTTCATGATTCAAATCAGAGGATCAATGGAAAGGATGACTTGCCTGTGTCAATACGACCGTGCATGCACCAGCAGCAGCTGCTAGAATCAAGTTAACTTTTGTTCCTAGAGATTTAGATCCACTTTTCTTTAGGTAGAGTCTCTTGAAGAAACTGTATTCATAGAAGTAGATAAATGATGAAATGAAAGATTGCAAATTCTTCGTCCCTAGGCCCTGGTACAGTGAAAGTACTTGACCTGTGGAAATTGCTTCCCACAGGACATCTGAGATTTTTCTGCATGCAAAGCAGAGCAATCATTTAGCTTACCTTAGTAAAAATTGATCTTTATAATCATGATATAATTCAAGGGAGAACTGTTCTTTTTCTAAACCCTGCCTAGCTTTTATTGGCGGTAAGGATCCTCAGAAATTTCAGTAAAGAATAATTTTATCAGTTCTATCGCACGGGTCATGGACAATATTGGCTAGAGAAAACTGGAAAAGACTGAGTAACACATTGTATGTCTATAAGCATTCATGTGAATTCAAGGCACAAGGGTATCAGATTTGAATATCTGGAGAAGCATGAGACAATTCTGACCAACATTTCGAAGGATATCAACTCGGACCTTCTAAAAAGCTCGTCTTTTTATTTTTCCGCTTCACATTCAATCTTAATCATACTTTGATTTGTTTTATCTAATTTCCAAGTCCCAAGATAAAGATTCTCTCTTCACGGATGCTGGAAAATAGAACACACGGTGAATGACTAAAGCATTATATAGCAACCCAAAAATTAAAAAACATCTAGTCCATGTTCCATCCCCAAAAGATCAAACATCAGAACACACATGCAAGATATACTCCACCAGAAGAAAACATCAAATCTGTATAGACAATCGGAGATAATAAAGTTCTTATCATAAAATCATAATATTCTTCCAGAATCTACATGGTGTTATGACTTGGTCCCATCTTAAAAAGCTCCTTGGGATTCCATCTTAAAAGAGCCACTTGAGGTTCCACCTTGAAAATGCCAACCTTATTAAGAGTAGGCCAAGCCTTATCTAATCATTATTCAATGCAGAATTAATCCTTAACAAGTCCATACAAGATGGTGACTCGTTTGAGAACATCAATCTTAAAATCCATGTTTGAGCTTAATGTACACTTTAGGTAGAGCAGCCCAAGCCCCCTACTGAAATATGCAACATAAAGAATGTACACTTTAAAGTGCTCCACATTTCGGGTTAAATCCATTAATGGCCACTGGGCTTTACACTTGATATTACCATGACGACCCAATTTGATTTTGTTTCATTATGACTACCCACTTTATATTTAGTGTCACCATGGTCACCTAATTTGATTTTATTTCACCGTGGCCACCCAATTTCATATAACGTTTAATTATGACCACCTAACTTCTTTTCATATTTTTCATTAATTTTAAAATGGGTAAAACGGTAACTTTGTGTACTATATAAAATATTTTTTTAAAAAAATTAAAACAAAAACTTATTTTAAAATAAAATAAAATAAAAACTTATTTGAAAAACACGTTACATAAAAAAATAAAATAAAAATTCATTTTAAAGAAAATGTTACTTAAAAATATAAATTAAAATAAAAACGTTATATGAAATTAGGTGGCCGTAGTAAAATAAAATCAAATTTGATGGTTACGGTGACACTAAGTCAAAAGTTGGCTGGTCACGGTGAAACAAAATCAAATTGGGTGGTCATGACGATACAAATTATAAAGTTGTGTCGCTGTTGGTGAATTTAACCCCCACATTTCTGATTTTCCAACTGCTACTCTTTAATACACGCCCAAGCTTCAAATGCCAGAGTATTTCCAACTAAATCAGAGAACACAAACATTGCTACTGAAGATAATTTACAATTTCTTCCATAAATTCATAAAGCATCAAAGTATGCCAAAAAAAGCCCCATTGTTTCAGTTATCCAGTTTCCACAGAATCCTAAAATAAAATAACAACAAAAACTCAGATTAAATTGAATTCAAAATTCAACAAAACCGCTGAAATCACAAATATTTTTCTGAATTTTTAATGATAACCGAAGAATTCCCAAATGAAAAAAAAAAAAAAAAAAA